CAAGGATCATCTGGGCCAACCTTTCTGGGCAAAGCATGACCTAGACTGGATGTCCCAGCACCCTGTCCAGCCCAGTCTTAAAATGTGTCCAGTGCTGGAGTCACCTCTTCCTTGGGGAGTTTATTCCAACAGTTGGTTGTTCTCATTGGGAAGAATTTTCCTCTAGTGTCCAGTTGGAATCTCCCTGGGAGGAACTTGTGCCCATCACCCTTCATCTTTTCCATGTGACTCCTTGTGAAAAGGGAGCCTCCGTCTTCTTCATAGCCACCCTTAAATACTGGACTGGTATTTAATGAACACTTAGAGCTTGCTGCCCTGAGGTTTATCTCCTTTTAAAAGATCTCCCAGCACTTTTTTCCCTTCCTAGATTTAAAGGTAATCCTGACCCTGGCTCTAGATGCTTATGGCTTAAGGGGGCTGCATTAGGAGCTAAAGATAGCTGTGTTGGATGAGTGATTAGCTGAGTTGGATGAGCACGGAAGTTTGAGGAGATTTGTGGTGAGGTACCAAGCTATGGATGTGTCACTTTAAATCTTACCAGATGCAGGCTGATAACCAAGTAATTGCCATGGCAGGAGTAATTCAAACCTGCATTCTAATTTTCCTCTGCTGCTTCACAAGCTGCACTGTCTTCTGAAGCCTGTTCGTGGAGCTGAGCTGAGCTGTGCTGAGCCCAGGAACACATCAGGCCATGTTGTGATGCCAAGACTGATTTTCAGATTAATCTCCTGCTGTAATGTCACAGTGCCATGGGTGGCATTGGTGACCTCCACGGTGCCTGCTCACAGGAGCTGTCTGATAATGGGGTTTGGTTTTAAAAACAGGCTCTGTGTTGCTCTTGGACCTGGCCTGTTAGACTGGCATGCTCCAGATCCTGGGCCCTCGTCTGTGCAGTTGAAATGAGGTGCTGTCTTGAACGCAGGTATCTGGGAGCTCCCCTGGAGTTCAGTGTCTCGGAGCTGACCATCAGAGGGTGCCGCAGGGACTCGGTGCTGCACCGGGGTAACTTCCACGGGTCACAGGGAAGTGATGCTTTAGCACACGTGAGGACGCATCCCGTCATTGTGTAACTGCGACCGGGGTGTGGGGTCTTCTGGACTGACCCTGCGCTCGGTTTCTGTGCATAACCCATGGTGGCTTTCCTGGGGGACCGCACCGAGCTGGGCTGGGCTGTCTGGAGTTCTACTGAGCTCTGGGTCCCCACAGAGCAAATGTCTACCGAGACCCCGAGTTTGCTGCTGTCTGACCCACTTTTAGGGCTCAAGGGGTGCAGGACCCACCTAAGTATAGAGTAAGGGCTGTGACATGCTGCAACCACCATGTGCAAGAAAGTGGGTCTGTGGCTGCTGCAGGTAGATAACTAAACCATTGCTGTTCTCAGAGGGGATGGAGGAGCCATTGCAGGGTACACATGGACAAACCTGCTCTGCTGCATAATTAAAATCCCCTTTCCACTTAGGAGCAGCTGTGATGAATGCAGGAGGAGACCCAGCCTCCTATTCGAGGGGCTGTCACGTTAAAATAGCTTCTTTCTTTGCAGGAAGCTCCGGATGCCCTTTCAGAAGGTGCTGACATTTGTGGCTTTTAGGGTGACAGGTAAAGAGGATTATTCCTGGTAGTAACAGATTTCCTTCTCTTTGGTAGCTCCTCTCCTGAAAACATTCAGCTTCTTGGGCTTTGAAATCGTGAGGCCTGGTCACCCTTCTGTCCCGTCGCGGCCAGACGTGATGTTCATGGTGTACCCCCTGGATCAGAACTCTTCCTCTGATGAAGAATAGCTGCAGCGGGGAACTCCAGTGTGACCTGGAAGTGCTGTTGAGGGGAGAGAGGGTTCAATCTCCTTTCTTGATGAAAGGGAAAAAAAGCTTCTGTTGGACTGAAACTGCATTTTTCATTGTTAGATTGGCCTGTGTATCCTCAGAGTTGACTATCTCATTGAAATGTGTTGCCTAGAGAACTATATATACACACATGTAATCACCAAATAGTAAATGGAAGATGTTTATGAACTGGCATAGGAACTCCTTACGTGCAGCTGTGTGGTGTGTTAGCCCCGGGGCGCCTGGTTCCCCGGGCCGGGTGTGGGGAGCACAGCGGTAGGTGCAGCACCGACTCCTTGACTTCTCTAATCTGTGTTGGTCCTTCCCCGGTCACCCGATGTGTGCTCATCTGACAGACCACATTGTGACTTTTCACTCCAGACTCTTAAGCAGGAGGCATGTTCTGGGTGTCAGGCAGGTGGAGGAGACGTGCTCATGCCTAACCTTTAACACTACATTAAACCCCCCCGTGGGTCTCCGCTTTGGGGTACCAATGCTGTTTTAACTGGTCTAACCTTTTCTTTCTCCCCAGCCTCCCTCCCCCCCCCCCCCCCATCCCTTTTAAACTTCTTGCTCTTCCAGCTTTTGTTTTAAGCAGTCTTAGCTCTGTTCAATGTTACCACTGCACTATCACAGTGTTCAATAAAGGGGCATTCCGATGAACTTCACACAGCTGGGGCTGCTTATTTGAAAGGAACAGAACTGCTGGTGGGCCCACAGTGCTGCGGTGGCCTCACAGGGTCAGGCGAGGGTTTGGAGCAACACCTCTGCTCAGGGGCAACTTTTCTTCCCTGCCTGCAGTGTGATGGGCCAAAGAGCTCAAGCCTTTACCCTCTGCCCAGGGACGGGTGTGGACCAGGCCCGTTGCCATCACCTCTATTCTCCCTCCTCACCTTTCCAAAGAGATGGTCTCAAGACTTGAGATGGAACTGGTGGCTGAACCCAAACCAAAGGGTGTTGTGCTTGGGGACTGGTGTGAACAGCAGCTCTGCTGGCTGCAGTGGGATGTGCTCCCTGTCCAGGGCCTCTCCAGGGATGGAGAGATGGGGTCTGGTGCTGGCATGTGCTTGTGTTTCAACCTTGCCCCTTAGCTGGAGAGTGAGGTTGTGCTCTTGTGCCACAGATGGGATGGGGGTGGCTTTCTTGGGCAGGCCATGCAGGAAGGGTGTGCTTCTGCACTGTGCCCCGTGGTGAGCTCTGCCTGGCCTGGCTGCTTGTGTGTGTGTGGAACTGTCCCGTGTGCTGTGTTGTGCTCTTGCCCTTCTGAGGGGAGAGGGGGGTGTCAAAAGCTGAAGCCGAGCCATTCCATAAAGGCCATGTCAGTGCATTCTGTCTGGGGGAGAGAGGTGGGGCTGGGATGTGAGTTTGTGTGAATAAATCATCTTAAAGTCTGTGTCTCTCTTCCCCTCCTTCCATTCCAAAGAAAGCAAAGGGCTTGTGGCTCTAATCCCTCCTCAGTGGGGCATTAAATCTGGTGTAAAATGAGAGGCTGTACTGCTGAGAACACCTCAGCCCCAGCTGTCCTTGCTGCAGGGAATGTATGGGGACAAATGAGACCTTGCCCCTGTTCCCCACCTGAAACAGTGGTGCCTGGTTCTGCCTTTCGAAGGGCCAAGTCTCATCCCTTCCTTTTCCCTGGGCCTCCCTGGGTGTTCCTGTGAGCTCTAGGGCCCTGCTCCTGCCCTCTGCTGCTCTGGTACAATGTACTGGTCAAGTGCAATGTGCTCATCATGGCAGCTTGGAGTGAGGAGGAGCTCCTGCACTCACTGATACCGTGCAGGTATGGAGCCACGTGCCAGTCATTGTCCTGGCCTGGCTCACACACGTGTGGGCAGATAAAGAGGTTTCCCATCAGCATCTTCAGCAGCTCCCTGCTGAGGCTCCAAAAGGCACTTCTGGTTTCTCTGGGTGCTGGCTCTTGCCTCGAGGTTGGGGGAGCCAAGCCAAGAAGGAGCTCTGTGGGGAGGCCGGGGGTGGCTGTCCCTTGCTGGTGCCCAGAGCTTCAAGCTTGGGGCAGTTCTGATCCACACAGAGCTCGGTTGCAGTTTCCCTGTGTGAGGCCATGGATGCTGGTGGCACAGCACTGGGTACAAGGAAGAGAGTGGGTGCTGGGGGGCAGAACCTGCTGCCCCACTCGGCCACGGTGGCTGCAGACCCATGAGTTCAGCATCAGGAGCAGCAACTGTTTCAGCCCTTGCAGCTGCACCAGAGACAAGGACACCATCCCATAACCCCACCCCAAACAAAAATCACTGGCTGCAGCTGTGGGGACAAAGGACCAGAACTGGGGCAAGCAGGAAGAAAAAGCCACCCTCACAGGTTTGTGATTGTCTCTTAAAAAGATTTATTCTCTCTCCTTGCCCAAATGTACAAAGGCAAGAAGAGTACAGTTTGTATATATATATATTTATATATATATATATAAAAAAACAAGGAACTTGGTAATAATGTACACTTTACAGAAGGGCAGAATCAGGAAGACTGAAATGAAACCCAACACAGCAACGCCAATGGCAACGAGCTATAAACACCAACAGTTTGACGCCCTGGCTGGCCGCCCGCGGGGTTCTGGGGAGAGGGGACCCCCCCAGCAGGGGCTGGGCTGCACCCCCAGGCACGGACTGACCAGGAGAACCCAGAGAAAGCCAAACCTCAAACCTATTCTGCATAAACCGCTGCTTCATTTAACACCTAAAGGGAGACGTAACTGGGACCCAATTGGAAAGGTGGGGAGCCCCCCCCCGGGCCCCCTTCAACTGCCAGCAGGGGCTGTGGCACACCCAGCACCCCCTGTCCTGCTCAGGCACCCATGCCCATGTTGCTGCCGGCTCCGCTGGAGCAGCCGAGGTGGGAGCGGCTGGCAGGGTGCTCCTCTGCAGATGGGGTGTGGGGCTCCCCCAGCACCCCCAACCCGGCCCGGTGGCTGCACCAGGATCTGGAACGGGCGCGGGGGTTCGAGCCACTGCCCTGTCCCCAGGAGCCGGCGGGGCCACGCAGCCCTGTCTCCTTGCACAGACACACAAGTGTGGAACTACAGTGCGTCCAACAAGGAGAGCCGGCTGGGGCCACTGCGCTGTCGGCCACCCCCAAGCAGGGCCGAGACCAGTGAGTGCCTCCTTTCCAACTGGGTAACGGGATGGGGGAGAACTGGGGAAAGAAAACAAAACCCAAAACAACAGCTTTCAAACAATTGCTTTTTACAGTATGTACAGAGCCCGGCGGGCAGAGCATCCCGGTACAGCAGCCCCAAGGGGCCGGGTGCGACACGGACACACACACACACACAACCGAGACCCATGGGCCCCCCGTGTCCCCCGGCCGGGCAGCGGGGAGCGCGCTGCGGCAGCCCGGCTGTGCGGGGCCGAGGTAGAGCATCGGCCCGGGGAGAGCCGCTCTGGGGCTGGAAGCAGAGGACCAGAAAGCCCCTGTCCTTGGGCACTGGGGAGCAGCCAGGAGCAGAACCAGCTTCCTCCAGGGCCTGGAGCCCCTGCACGAGGCTGGGGGAGGCCTGGCAGGGCCCAAGTGCCTCTGGCAGAGCCTAAGTGTGCTTGCTCCTTGCTGGGCTCTGCCTGCGGGCTGGGAAGCGCCTCAGACACACAAGGTGGGTGTGAAGAGGAGCCACAGCCTTGTGCCCCCCCTCGATGCACTGCCCTGGGGCTTAGGGAGCACTTCCTGGGGCTGGGGGCAAAGGCTGGGGGGTGCAGACACAGCTTGGAAATCAAGTTAAAAACCTCAGGCATGAGCTGCCAGCAGGTCTGGGCCGTGCAAGGCACAGGGAGGAACCCTGCAGCCGCCAGCCCTGCAGAGCCCCACTCACCCTAGGCAGGGGCTGCTTCATGGGGACCGGGCACAGCCCCAGATCCCCTGACCCATACAGGCACGGAGCAGCTGGTGCTGTGGGTGCGAGGATCAACAGTGCGACGGGGAGAGGCTGCGCCCCACGTGCAGCACGTCCCCGTGCCCCACAGCAGCCTCGGGCCACGCTGACACCTGCCCTAGCCCCACAACACCCACCTTGGCTCCACATGAGCCAGCTCTTCCTTTCCTGAGACCTCCCGGCAGGCTTGGCCCCACATGCCAGCCCCAGTGAGGAGCATGGAGCAGGCAGTGACCCCGCCAGGCCCTGGTCCCGTGGTGCTCAGCCCCATCAGAGACATGGTGGGGTCCCAAATCCATCGAGAAACCTCAGTGCTTCCGTTTCCTCTTCATATGCACCAGGCAGGCGAGTCCCCTCCAGCGCCAGTGCCCAGTAGAATAAATATTTCTGCAGGTACCAGCTCATCCGCTCACCAAAGAGGAGGGTGCAGAGGGGGAGTCAGTGTGTGTCCAATGGGGTGTGGGAGGGGAGAAGACAGAGTCTGCCTCAGATCACGGCAGGAACGTCAAGCAGAACAATTAACACCATTCAACTGATGTCTAAAGGAGTCTCCAGCGCTTCCCCATGTGAGCCAGTCACATGTCTCGTACAGCCCAGGCGTCCCAGCGCATCACGTCCTGCCACAACCCAAGCTCAAGTCAGCTCCCACAAGCCCAGGGGGGACGGGCAAACCCCAAACCCTCTGCCCAGGGCAGCCCCTGCGCACCCAGCCCCATCCTGCCGGTGCTGCAGGAGCAGAGCCTTACCGTTCTCACCTCCGGGGAGGCGGGTACAGGGAGGGAGCGGAGCCTTGCTGGCTGGCAACGATGGCTGTGGAGGAGAGACCTGCGGAGGAGAACCTGAGTCAGGATCCAGCAGCGCAGGACGGGCACCCGGCCACGCCAAGGGCGCTGGACCGGGGCAAAGCAAAGCTCAGCACAGGGGCTCACGCTGCCCAAAGGTGGCTCCAGTTCCTCCCCAGCCCTCCGCGCGGTGCAGGGAGAGGCTCTCACCTGTTGCATAGGGCAGGTTGTACTGCGCCGGCAGCAGCGAGTACCCGAGGTGGTGGTGGTGGTGGTGCGTTGAGAGCAGGCGCTGCGATGGCGACGTGCGTGGCCGGTCCGTGCTCCTCTCCCCACCACCGCCTGCCCCGACACTGCTGCAGCTCCCGCCGCCCCCCACCACCCCGCAGCCGCCACGGTCCCGCTCCTGAGACGTCTTCTCGCTTATCTGGAGAGGAGAAAGCAGACGCTTGTTGAGGGCCTCTGCCCGTGACCCCGGGGCGCAGGGAAGCACTGGACCCATGCCGGGTGCTCAAGGCTGCCCCATAGGGTGATATTCCCCCCACCTTCAAGTAAAGGCTCCCCACAATGCTGCTGGGAGATGACAGGATGGCTGGTGACAAGCCCAAAAGCAGTGGGGAGGATGAAGGTCTGTTTGAGGGCAGCTCTTTCCGCACCATGTCAAAGCTCTGCCTTCCAGCTAAGCCCAAGAGGAGCTCGTGCCCCTGCAGTGCCATGGGATGGATACAGCTCCTGCACCCCCCCACCAGCTCCACTGCTGAGGACAAGTGTCACCTGGGTGCTGCAGGACCTGGAAGAGCCCTGGTGCTTCCCTGGACTGTCCATCCCAGAGGGGTTGTGCTGTGGGATTATTCCACAGTCCCAGGTCTCCTACAGCAGCAGGGATGGCAAAACCCCACAGCAGGCAATGCTGCTTCAGGCTGCTTATCCAGGAAGCACTCGAAGCTCATTAACAGAGATGGGCAAAGCCAGCACCTTCCTGAACCTCACCGTGGGTGATTTGCTCTTGTAGTGGCTGGCATGCTGCTGCAGGATGTCCAGGGCCTTGGACTCTGAGCTGGATTTACAACTCACGCTGGGGCTGGCTCGGGACTTGTCGCTGTCGTCGCTGCCAGATGCCTTGCTCCCGTACGGGGAGAAGGAATAGCTGGAGGGTAGGTATGATCCTAGGGGGAGGAAAGAGCAGTCAGGGCACGAGAAGTCTTTGGGAGGCACACTGGGAGCATGTGGCTCTGCACGTATGCCACCATGTGCCAGAGGATGTCCCACAGCTGTCCCCTGCTCTGGCAGCACAGGGACAGCCTGGGAAGGGACGTCCCTGAGATGTTCCCAGCTCCCTACCTGGGTAATTCTGCATCATGACGGTGGGCATGGCCCGGTAGCTGGGGTGGTTGGGGTCATACGACTGGCTATAGGAGTAGCCGTGCATGTAGGGGATGTAGGACTGATGCTGCGTGAGGGGTGAAGAAACAGGGACATGGACGCTGGGCCTGGGGTCCTTCCCCACCATGCGAGCCTCCTCGGTGGGGGTCAGCTTGCAGTCGGAGCTGGTGCTCTCCTTCCCATCCTCCTTGGAAGCATCTTTGCTTCGATTTCTTTCTTCCTTCAACTTTCGGTCCCTTTCCTCTTTCCACCGCTCATCCTCCGTCTTGATGTCCGAGTACTTTGCTGGGTACACATAGGTCCACATCCGAGGCTCAGCTTCCTGCAAGAACCAGTCAAGCATCAGGGCAGCTGAATCCCCCAGCCCTGCCGGTCCCAAACCCAGGCTGGATGTGGGGGAGAACAGCAAACCTCACTCCCCTTCCCTGAGCTCTCCTTGACCCAGTCATGGCCTCCCAGACCCATCCTTTTGCTGGCTCCATGGAGTCCCATCACATGCAGAGGACAACACATGTTCTCTGAGGTGATGGCCCCAGCAACCCCCTGCAGTGAAGCCACAATGAGAGGCTTCTTCCAGTAAGAAGCCCACTGCCGGGCTGACAGCACCATTACCTGTCTGTACCAGAGCACAGGGTCCACCTCCGCCTGCCGGCCACACTCAGAGCCAGACTTTGTCTCAGCAGCCTCCTTCCCGAGGTGGCTGCTCTCACTCAGCTTCACCTTCAGCCCCTCGGCAACCTGGCTGCTGGGCAGCTTGGATGAGTCCTCCAGCTTGGGGATGATGACGGATTTGGCCATGTCAGGACCTCCCTGCTCCTTGGCCTTGCTCAGACCTGACTTGACGAGGTCGGTGAGGCTTGGGGCTTTGGTCAGCGTCGGGGGCATGGGCGGCTTTTGTTTCCACTCCTCTTTGAGCACTGCCTCCCTCTCCTTCAGGCCCAGCTCTGCCTTCTTCTCCAGCCCTCGCTGCTGCTGCTCCAGGCTCTGCCGCTGCTTCTGCTGCTCCTCGTACTGCTGGCGGTAGGCAGGGTTGGTGCTCAGCAGGTGAGCGTGGTAGCCCTGCTCGTTGTAGCCATAGGGGGGCACATAGGCATACTGGTTGTAGTAGAGGGATTGCATGTACATGTTGGGACGCTGCTGGATGACCGAGGGCTGCTGGCTGGAGCTGCTGAGCTCTGCCTTCTTCTCTTCACAACCTTCACTCTTCACCTTCACCTCCAGGCTCTCCTGCTCCTCATCCTTCTTTAGCTTCAAGGCCTGTGTCTCAGCTGTGGCCTGGCTGCTGGGGTTCAAGGGCCCTGGGCTTGCCTGGGGGTAGCCAGGGGAATAGTAGGTTTCAAAGCCTTGGTAATAGGGAGATTCTTTGCTCTGTGGTTGTGGGGGGAAAAGAGCTTTTTTGGCGCCTTCCTTGACCAGCTGCTCAGGATCCTTCGCCTTCACGCTCTCCAGCTTGCCCTCCCCATCCTCCCCAGCATCCGAGATGTCTGAGTAGGCTGGGCTGTTGGTTTTCACCGAGCTGGCCTCTGCTCCGTTCTGGGTGACAACGTGCAGGGGGGTCATGGGCTGGGCTGGGTTGGTGTTCTCCAGCCTGCTGGCACCACCAATGGAGGGGCTTGGGGCATTGTCGGTGAAGCTGTAGATTTTATCAGCCTCGGCCTTGATGCTGGCAAGCCGGCTCTGGTGGGGATCGGAGGAACCATTCAGCAGCCCCTCGCCTTTCATTCCCAGGTCACTGGATTCCCCCCGGAAAGGGCTCTTGCCTTCCTCCACTCTGCAGGCTTTGCCTGGAGTCAAAGGGTTTTCTACCTCCTTGGGCTCCTTCTTCTTCTTCTCCTTCTTCTTCTTCTCCTTGGAAGGGGTGAGGGCAGGGTTGACTGCAAAGGGCTCTCCCATGACTGTGGGCTTGGGCTGGATGGGTTTAAGCTGTGGGCTGTTGGGCATGGTCTGGACCACAGTGGTGGCAAGGGCTGTGGAGGAACCAGGGCTGGCTGTGGTCAGGGTGGCTGTCTGGAAAGTGTAAATTGGCTGGGGGGGGATGGCTGGTGCAATGGGTCTGGCAGACTTCAAGCTTTTGGAAGGGATCTTCTCTGCCTTAGCACCAGATGCCTTCTTCGACTTGTCCTTATCAACACATCGTTTCTCCAGAGAGTCAAAGTCGTCGTTACTCGTCTCATCAGCCACCGAGGGACCATCCTCAGAACCATCATTGGACAGAGCACCTGGGTCAGTATCTCCTTCCCCACCCAGCTTCTTCTTGCAGGCCACCTTGGCGCTGAACTTGCTGGATGGGGAGGGACTGTGGGGCTCCATCAAGCGCACCTTGGGGGTGGCCGAGCGAGCTGGTGAAAGCGAGCCCTTCTGCGAGATGGTAGCACCGTTGCAGCTCCCCATGTCTGCGTGCAGGGACTGCTCCTCGCCATACTCGCTGTCCACATCTGCCTCCAGCTTGCTGTCATCGTCCGTGTGTGCGTGGGCCTGATGGTACTTCAGCCCATTGATGTGCTTGTACTTCTTGTTACAGTTGGGGTGGGGACAGTCAATGAGGATGGGAGAAGGGCAGTTTCGGTCGAGCACAGCCGGCTCCACCTTGACCGCAGCAGGTGGCATGGCTGCCGAGCCCATTGAGTTTGTGCGGATGCGTTTGCTGCCCTTGGAGTCCTCCGAGCTGGAGTTCAGCTCCATGTCGGAGAGGGGTTTGCTCTTCCGCTTGGTGACGGAGGAGGGACTGGCCTTCACGTCCTCGGCCGTGCCTCCGGGCGGCGTGCGGTGGTCTGAGGAGTTCTGGCTGCCCCGGCGCCCTTTGCTGTTGGCTCCCGCCCGGGTCTTGCTGCTGTTGCTGGTCCCTTTGCTGTCCGAGGCCGCGGCCGTCTCGTTCACAGGCGTGTTGCTGTTGGGGCGCATGCGCTTGCCCCGGCCCCGGCCGTTGCGCATCTCCAGGTCACTGGTGGGGGAGTCACAGAACCTATGGGAGAAGGACAAGAAGGTTTTAATGGAGACACAGCGGTGCTGGGTTACACTGTCCCCACTGCGTGGTGGTGAGCCCCTTCCTCCCCTCTCTATCAATCCAGCAGGCTCACCCCTGCACTGGCTAGGAAAAAAGAACCGGAGGGGCCCATTGCCAAACCCTCAACCTTCTCCAAGTCTCCAGGACAAGGCATCCTGTGACCACAGGGAACAAACAGCCGTGGGAGCAGCCCAGCTGGGCAAGGAGGAGATGCAGCCCCCAAAGGCAGCCCCACGAGCACAGGGCAGAGCAGACTGGATGCGGGTGGCTGCGGCTGTCCCCTGCACCTGGGTGACGGGGACTGCTTACCGTGGAGGTGCCCAGTCGTGCTGCGTGCAGTCCAGCAGCGTCCCCACGTATGTCTTGTTCCTCCAGGTGACGTTGACCACCAGCATACCTGTAAGGTGAGGGGACAGGGTCAGGCAGGGCCAGGCGTGACCCCATGGTGTCCTGCCCTTCCCTGGACATCAAGGGTAAAGCGGGATCTACTGTTTGAGACAGGCAGGAGGAAGAACTCAGCTCTAGGGCTCGAGGAAGGTGAACAAGGGGTCTTGGGCTCCATGGTGAGACCCCAGGCTCTAGGCTGGAGGGGCACCAAGATGGGCACTGCAGGCCCTCTCTCAGCACGGCTCTCCCCAAAGCCTGCCCAACCTCTCTTTCTTGAGCCACTCAGTGCTCTTCCCTGTTTTCATGGGGATGCTAAAACAACTGACCCCCAAAGGGCTGCAGGATTTGGAGGGGTGTGTGTGTGTGTGAAGATCCACATTGCTCCACATGCACTCAAGTAGGGTAGGGAAGGCAATCTCTGGGGAGTCAGGGCTGGGTACCCCCCGAGAGAAATGCAGACCGCCCCAGCAAGGCTGTGCACCCCAACACGGAGCAGCAGACCCCCCAGTATTGCTCTGACCGGCCATGCGCAGCCATGAACCTCATGGTCTTCCGGAAAAGGCTGTTACTGCCACTAGATGGCAAGCTGATACCAGCATCCCCATGCAGTGACTACCACGGGAAGGAAAACAGAAAGCTGGGGCAACAACCCTCCCACTTTGCTTTGGTCCCGCACGCACACACACTCCCCAAACCCCCTGACATCCCCCCCGAGGATACTCATCAGCCCTATATCTCTGCCTGGAGAACCATCCATCAGGCCACATCTCCTCCCATCATGCAGCAGAGGAACTGCACATTTTGAAAACCTGGTGGCTTCAGCTTTTTCACGGCCATTTAAGAGAAGCAGCCTGGCTCACACCTGCACTGAGGACACAGACCCCTGGCGTCGATTCTTGGAGGTGGAGAATGATCCGCAGCATCATCCATGATCCGCAGCATCACTCAGCTTTGTGGATATTTCCTCCTGCCATGGACCACTCTGACTACTGCAGAACTGATCTGACCAGGAGCAGAGTCCGTTGTGCTGAGCACATTTATCTGAGCAACGTAACACTCAGGAGACAGGAAATTCGTTTGCAAGGGTTGATGAGTGCACCAAGATGCACAGCCGAGCAGCCTGGAAGATGGACGGAGCGGAGGGAGCCTGGAGCAGCTGTGCCTGGAGCACCTTTATAGATCTCAGCCCGTGCTCCCTGCTGTGCTGTGCCAGCAGGCAGCTGCAGGCTTCGCGCGGATAATATACAGAGATGAGGTCCAACATGTGGGGCTCCTTCAGAAAGAGAAACGAAATGCAGGTTTTCTCATTCTTCTTCTGGTAAATGCTGGGTGCTCCAGTGGGAGCAGGTCACGGGAAGACAGTGTCAGCACATGGGCTCTAGCCAGCTCATGCTGGTGAGGAGAGGCTGGGTCCTGCATTTGGAAGAAGGTGCTGGGGACCTGCCTTAACAAGGACATGCCCAGGAAGTGACGCTGGAGATGACTTTCCCTGAGGCAGAACGAACTGCTGGGAGCCCACAGTACCACACAGGGAAAGATTCATGAGAAAGAAGGGATGATGACCCTAGGCATCCCAAGGAGTGCAACAGGAAGATGGTCTTCTACCTCCATTCCTCCTAATGAGGCTTTTCTGGGCAGGCAGAAACTTGTCCCCTTTTTCTTTAAAACCCAGGGAAGGAAGGTGCTGGCTACATCCTGCGCCCCAACCCAAACCCACCGTCCCTGTTGCAGGACGCTCCCAGGAGGTGCAGAAGGAGTAAGCAGCTGCTGAGGTACCAGCAGCCTTAATTCAGACCACATCCAGTTCCCTCTGCTCTCCCTGCTGCACAGCCAGCACCAGTTCAATCCTTCTTTGACGCCGACGACCCCACGTGTGCTGCTGGAAGTTAACTGCACAACAAGCCACTGGAGCCTCTCATGCATCCTGCAGCCAGTGTGTGAGATCAGAAAGGATGTGCTGGCATTTTCTTTTTCCCCACCACCACAATCACAGGAGCCAGATGAAAGATGAAGGGGTGAAGTGAGCCAGCACATAGAGTCCCTCCCTCCCCTGCTGGAGCATCAACCCTCCAGCACACACCAGCCTATATTTAACTCGCTGCAACCAATCATACCAAATCCCCTCCTAATCCTCCAACAATAACCCAGGACAATTTAAACCCCGGGGATAGATCCTAAGCAGCTTTTTCCACCCGCGTGTCCCCCTCCTGCGGCAGGATGATGAGCAGCATGGGCAGGGCAAGGGCGGGCAGCCAGGAGGCAATGCCCTTGCATCCCCCAGCCTCGAGATGCTCATGCACAAAGAGCCAGCGGCGATGCTCTTGCAGAGGAATCCCACTTAGATAACTCTGGTCCTATCTGGTTTCACAGCAAGGTGACACCCTTGAAGCTCCTAAGCAATTGACAGCACCCAAATCTGGGTGCAAACACTCAGCATCCTGTGCACTGAGCATTCACATCACCGCAGTTATACTCTGGCAGGAAAAATTAACAGTGGGTGGACGGTGCCAGGCTGCTGTCTAGGAGGCAACATATGAGATAATCCTGTAAAAACAGAAAATGAGATGAAAGGAACAGGAGGGAGGCAAAAAAGTACCACCTGGTCCTCGTAGGGTCCCCGCATTGGGGGAGCTCAGGCTTGGTAGGTGCACCCAGCTGGTGGGGACACAGGATGGACAAGAACAATGCTGCATGAAGCCCTCCATCCCAACACAGCCCTAAATCACACCAGACTAAGCCCTTCCAATGGATAGTCCCTGCTGGGGCACAGTTCTCTCACGTTAAGACGCATGTGGTAGCGTCTGCTTGCAGACCAGGGTCATGGGCACCAGGAGCTATGATATCAGGGGAAAATGTGTCCCAGATCCCCCCAGTCAAGTTTCCCCTCTTTGCAAAGATGTAGCCCCAAAGCCTAACCAAGAACATCTCCAAACCCTGAGGAGAAACCACAGTGCCAAGCACCAACATTGAGCGGGGATGTTCTCAGACCCATGCAGGGCCACTTCACCCCATGGCTCAACACCCCAGGCACAATCCTACTGAGCCACCTCCAGCAAGGCCAGGTCCTCAAGCACCCCAGGGATTGCTAGAGCAGTTGGAGGAGTGTATCCAGCAGCCTTGTGGGGAACAAGGAGATGTTGCTTCTGCAGTTAGAGAGGACAGTCCACTAGCCTTCCACTAGTTCTGGGGTGCAGAGGATCTCTGCAAGGCAATGGGACGATGACTGGTGGCATTCCCCACTCGAAGGAGAGGTTATTGAAGAGATATGGATTCGATGGATGGATTGTTTGGAGAATGAGGAATTGGCTGGCTGATCGCATCCAGAGGGTAGTAGTCATGTGCCCAAACTCCACAGCACATGTCCACCTTTGGTAACAGTGTTGATGTGACTATGACTGAGGTCCTGCCATCATCCTGCAAGAGAACGGCACATCCCACTGCAACCCACACAAGCCAGCACCCATGTGGGACTAGGGACTGCAGCTCCCTCTTTGTGGCCCGAAGCACCATAGAATCACAGAATCAACCCGGCTGGAAAACACTTTAAAGATCATTAAGTCCAACAGTTGTCCAGCACTGCCCAGGCCACCCCTAACCCATGGCACTGAGGCCCCATCTCCACGCTGTGTGAACACTTGCAGGGACGGTGACTGCAGCCCTGCCCTGGGCAGCCTGTTCCAATGCCTGAGCACCCTCTGGGGCAGGAATTGTTCCTCAGCTCCATCCAAACCCCCCCTGGCGCAGCTTGAGGCCGTTTCCTCTTGTCCCATCCCTTGTTCCTTGGGAGCAGAGCCCAGCCCCTCCTGGCTCCATCCTTCTGTCAAGCAGTTGGAGGGAGCCATCAGGTCCCCCCTGAGCCTTCTCTTCTCCATCTGAACCCCCCAGGTCCCTCAGCCCTTCCCCATCACACTTGTGCTCCAGGCCCTGCACCAGCTCCGTCACCCTTCTCTGGCCCTGCTCCAGCACCTCAATGTCTCTCCTGTAGTGAGGGGCCCAGAACTGAACACAGGATTCAAGGTGCAGCCTCACCAGTGCCCAGCACAGGGGCACAATCCCTGCCCTGGCCCTGCTGCCACACTGGTGCTGATACAGGCCAGGAGGCTGGGGGCTTCCTGCCTGCCTGGGCACAAGCTGCTCATGGTCAGCTCAGTCAATTCGCACCCCAGGATACCTACAGGATTTTGGGAACCCTTGTGCCTCTCAAGGCTTAGCGGGGGGGCAGAGCATAGCCACAGCACCGAGCCCCACGAGCACCCCAGACGCCCATCCTCGCGCTCCTGGAGAAGGGAGGCCGAGGAATCAAACTCTATTTAGCTCCCGGGAAAGCACGACAGAGCAGCTTGCAGCTCGAGAGCCTCCTTGTAAACAAGTCCTTTAATCCACGGCTCAGCAGCTAAGGCAGGAGCCCCAGCTGGTATTACCTGGGGCAGCTACAGAGATGGAAGCGAGCAATAGTCCTGTCTGGAGCAGAATATTGCTCACCTATTGATAAAACAGCCTCTGTCCAAAGCTGACAGATGCTTCAGGAGCGATAAGCGGTGCATTAGCCCTCCTCCTGCTCCCCACACTGTCAAGCCAGTAGCTATTAGACACGAAGCGGTGGCGCCGGGGGAGCGCTGGGGAATGACACATAATAAAACTGTGCTGCTCTACACCAACAGACCCGCAGCACTGTGCTCGGGGGCTCGCAGCCTCCTACCCGCTGCTGAACCAGGAGGAGGGTGTAAGGCAGGAGCCCGAAACACCAGCAACCCCCACGGCGCCAGAGACACTGAGCGATGCTGGAGGATGCTCCCACCAGTGCGAGGTGCTGGATGATGTGAAGATGAGAGTGGTCACAGCCACGCTGGCATGGCTTTAGGAGGCTTTGCATCAGTTCAGCCACTCTGGAGGGGATTTACAACCCCTCATTAATTTGGGAAAGGCCATTAAAACAAATGAGAAATCCATATTCCCACTCCTCACCCTTGCTGCATCAGCCTTAAAAACTCACCTCCTGTTTCTGGGTTCAAGCACACACAGCTAAGAAGACTGGAACATGCTGCAGGAGACAGTTTGAAGCCCCTAAACCTACCCATAAGCAGTGCAATCTTAGCACGTTCAGCTTTTACAACATCCCCAGGGGCAAAGAGCAAACAGAGGCGCAACTGAAGGCTGTGGGTAATGGCCAGGCAGCATGTTCAACCTGCAAGGCTATCAAATTTGGGGTCAAGCTTCCTCATGGTTATGGTAAAACCTTCCAGTCTTTGCTCTTAGCTTCTAATCCTTCCCTATCCTCTCCCAGTCTACTGCATCTCTCCTGCTCCAAACAAAGACATGTCCATGCTGGCACCTGCAGACCTCAAGGCTGCTCCACCAGACCCACAAGAGATGTTTACAGAAGGGCAATCCAAACACCTTGAGTGCACAAAGCTCACCATGGCTGACCCACTGCCCCAGCTCCAGCACGGAGCTGGAGGAAGAGATACAGAGTTGCTGCTGTTTTCCTGGTGGTGCTGCACCATGATCCTTGCTGCTGGAAGGTTTTGTGCATCAGATGACAGCCTGTTTCAGTTGCACAAAGCACCAGTGTGGTGCTGGGACCTGCTCCATTCACCACAAGCAGAGGTGAGGAGATGATGTGCTCTGAGCTAGATGATCAGCTCCACTGAGGAGGATGGAGGAGACCTGGCAGCTAATGGGGCAGCAAAGAGCAATCCTTTTGCATGTCATTAGACCAGTCCATAGCTCCTGCAGAATGAAATCACACCCAACAGAAGGAGGGGAACTGCTGAGACAGCTGCTCCTCACCAAAGGTGTTTCCATAACACATCCCTACACAAGATGGGCTTGGCAAAGGGACAGTGTCACCAGCACAGCTGCCAGACAGCATGTATGACCGGTGTCACCACCAGCAAGAACACACCTCAGCCCAACACCAGCCTGGAGCAGTGGCGGAGACACACCAAAAGCCCAGAGATACTTGGTGGTGGGAGCCCACCAGGACGCCTTTGGTGGCAATCACAATCTTGCAGCATGTTTCTAGTGAGGGGAGAGGACAAAGCTGGTGTTCAAGGCAGGAGGGACATCATGGGGCTCCTCAGAGCTTCATGTTCCTATCTCAGATGGGTCAGCTTCAGCTTGCCCTCCCGAGGTTGCTCCAACCTGCTTAAAGGCTCCTAAAGCCACAGCTTTGGCAGCCTTTCTCCCAAGGGCAGAAAAGAACTACATTGCCTTCCTCTCCCCAACCCCTTCCAGAGGCCTTCAAGGCAGGAAGACACCTCCAACAAACCATGGGCTTCTTCGGGGCACACAACCTGGTGAATAGCAACTGCCTCAGACCAAATAACCTTTTGCCAGCATACTCCAGTGGATTCAGGGATGCCACCCCTGAGGAGAAAGCAGTTGAGTCAGTAAGCTCCTTTCTACCACTGGAAAGGATGCTTGGTGTAAGCCAAGAGCTGCTCCTGATGCTCTGGGTTCTTCTGAGCAGTCCAGCAAGGCTGCAGCATCACAAGCAGCACAGTGAGAGATGGATCTCCTGGAAATCTTTGGGATAGTCTCCAGGCACACTGCTGGGCTCACACGTGCTGAAGGAACCTCATTTGGCTTCACAGACAAGCCCTTGGTGTAGCTATCTCCTCCTGTATCCTTTGGGAGATGCTTGCTGCATCTCTGTGTATTTCACAAGCTCCAGCCTTGGACAGGCAGGTCCAGCATCAACTTGGCATCGCCCTTTACCCCCACCATTAAAACCAGAAAGGCAGGAGAGAGATGACAAGCAGGAAAACAGGATGGTTTCACCCTGACTTTTCACTCAAGGACAAGAAATGCCACTACAACAAAAGCCAATGCTCACAGTGGACCAGAAGTGACAAAAGGCAGCACGAGGGTTTGTCTCCTGAAGGCCGGCCATGAAAGTCATTGTTCCCAAAGGTGGCAACCAAGCAGCAGCCGTCAGAGAAGGACCTTTGCATGAATTACAGCAGACTAAGAATAGGCAGGCTGCGGGAAAGGGCAGGGAGCCTCCTGGGTGCGCTCCGGAACGGCGTCTGTGGGATCGAGGGGTAATGCCGATGGACAAGCACATGGGCCACAGAGCTTCCCTGTGCGGTGAGATGCAGCAGAAAAGAGAGGAGAAACCAGAACAGCTCCCATGTAATTGCCTCTCAACCAGGAACTGGCAGTGGGTGCAGAGGATGTTTCTGTGTTCTCTGCCTCAGGGATGCTGTGCTCATCCCTCCTTGCACAGCCATGTGGGCTCCTCTGCCCACCACGAGCCTCTTGCAGAATCGTAGAATAGTTTGGGTTGGAAAAGTAAGGTCATCCAGCTCCAACCCCCTGCCATGGGCAGGGACACCTCACACTAGACCACGTCACCCAAGGCTCTGTCTAACCTGACCTTGAACACTGCCAGGGATGGAGCCCTCACACACCTTTGAATGCAGCCCCAGAAGCAGGGGGTGCCGATGCCCTAGTACTCAGCCCAGATGTGCCCCAGTTTCCCTAGCTGAAGGTACTGCATCCTGTAAAGCCATAAGGCTCTGCAGACACAGAACAAGCACTGCCTGTGCGCTGGCAGCTCAGCAGACCTCCTGCAGGTTTCCTCTAAGCTTATCTCCCCCGGAGACACTCCAGCCCTGGGGTGTGCAGAGCCAGGCTCCTGAACACTCCTGCTGCTGCTTCCTTGTCCCCACCAGCAAGCAGAGCCCAAAGATGAGGATCCTTGGGCCCAATTTTACAATGTGTGGCATCCTTCTGCCTTGGAGCAGCAGAGAAAACCCAACACTTAACAGCTCTTGGCTGCCTCATTCCAGACAAGTGTTTCCATTCAGAATGGACAGTGAAGCAGAGGGCAAAGGAATGTGGAAGTCCCCATTTCCAACCTAGCACATCCCAACCTGCTCCAGCATGATCCATCCACTTCCTTCTTCCCAGATAGCTCAGGTCATGATGCTTTTCCTAATGGGAATGACTTCAGTGCTCACCACCCTTACATCAAGGGCCATCACAGCACTTGGCCCTCCACCAACCATCATTTCAAAACCAATTTCCCAGTGGGGAGAAAAGAAAGGCAAACTGGGCCCATCCCCAGCTTCCCAGAGCACGTGACAAGAAGGGAATCCCTATGGTAGCAGCTCCTGGGAATGCAGGTTTCAGTTCAGCTCCCATCAGAGATAACAAAGACAGTTCCAGTGAGGAGCAGCCAGTGAGTAAAGGCCAACAACAGCTTCATTCTCTGCACACCACAGTGATGGAAGAGTAGGAGCAGATGCCCAAGAGGAGCTCTTGGATACCCAACTGAGATGAACTTCCACACCACTGCTCTTTCTCACCTTTGTGCTTCTGGGCTCTCATTCTGCTTCCAGCCCCAGCTGAAGTCAGACACAAATATGAGGAGCTTCCCCTAAGCCTCTAGAAGCAGAAACCTCCAGCATCTCAACAAGACTGGAGGGAAGGCCAGGTTCCAGCACTCGCCGTGGTCCACTGAGCCACCTATTCATCCCTGCATTACTTGGCAGAGCCCCAACAGCAACAAAAACCCATCAAAGACCCTGAGAAAGCAAAGCAAGCTGTGCACAGATGAGACGAGCTCCAGCGGAAAACAAGATTGGATTGGCTTGGCATGAGAGGCGAGAGCCTGATCTCCCACCGAGTCCATTTGAGAGCTCCGCTGGGGTGTTTTAAGCCAGCGGGAGATTGCTGCTGCCTCCCAGGGTTTGAGCAGGTTTGTGACAGACCTGTGGGTTGCCAAGCAGAACCAAAGTCAACTCCAATGAGCTCCCGTGCAGGCTGGCACTGCCCCTCTGCTGGCACCTCCAGAACAAGTCAGCTCTCGTACGAATGCAAAGAAATGGCAGCTTACTTCTTTCGCCCAAAGTCTGGGCAACGGGGCATCGCAATGCATTGGTCTGACACAAGTTTTGGCCCATTACTCCCTTTGCTGGACAGATTAAGGGCTGCTCCCATGCAGCTCCTCTGTCCTGGCCACCCAGACAGTGAGGGGAAAGCCCAGGCCGTGCCAACAAGCAACAGAGCAGGGACACAGGAAGGGAGGGATTGCCATAACTCCATAATGATATCGTAGGAGAGCAAAAAGCTCTCCGGTGACACTTACCATCTTCTGTCTCTTGCCAGACGATGCCCTCCAGGTTGACGCTGGTCCCAGGCTCGCAGGGGCCCAGGCACTCAGGCTCAGTGGCCAGGGCCACGTCGCAGGTGTTCACTCCCACCGAGCGCGTGCGTACCATGATCTGCTCGCAAGGCGACGAGATGTCATTGTTGACAACGGGGACAAGGAGGTGCAAGGGCAGCACTGCAGGCGTGGAGACCGGAGACTCCATCTGTGGGGAAGGAGAAACATGCCGGTCACCGCTGGGAATGTGGGAAGGAGAACAAGTATCAACAGGGACCCACATTCCTGGAGAACCTCAAGCCCAGGCTGCCACCTTCCCAATGCCTGTGCCAGCAGGCAGTTCAAGTCCCACACCCCATCACAGGACAAGGATCTCGCAGGTTTCTCCCATCCTGGCATGCCCATACACACGTAACCCTAAAGAGTAGGCACTTTGTAGTCACACAGATCACACCCAAAAGGCTCTCCGCAGGAGATATCTGCTTTCCTGCTTCAAAGAGTTTGTGCCAAGTTCCTTCCCCAACGACTTTTGCCAGAGTAATCATCCCCAGCGAGGATGCCTCTGGCTACTGCTCAGATGTTAATGCAGTCAGTGACTTTGGACCTGATAGCTCATTAGAAAAAAAAAACAACTGGCAGGACAGGACCAACAAGGAGCAGCCTCCCTCCAGCATCCATCAAAACCAACATCGTCCCCCTCCCAACCCCAACCTGGGACCACCTGAAGATGCAGATGTTCAGATCACATCCCTCTTCTCTGCTAAGTGTCCAATTCAGAGCCTGATCCGGCAGACAGCGAAGGCCAGCGCGCCAGTCATCGAGCCCTCCTTGTGCATGGAAATCACATCTCATGGCCAGAGCTGGGCTTGGAAAGCCAACAAGCCAAACTGCCAAGTGAAACCATGGCCAAGTCACCCTGCTGCTGACAAGCCAAAGTCCTTGGCCACGCTGCCATGCTAGCAGATTGCAGCAGTGTTGGGAGAAGGATGGCTGATGGGCTGATTTTGCTGCTGGCCAAGGGAAAGGTAGGGTGGAGACCTTCCTGTCCTTCAGGGTTCATCAGCCAAGCCAGCTGCAGGCAGTCATCCCCTCGCCATGGCTCATGAGGATGTGCAGCAGTTCTGGGGCTAGCTGCTCTTCCTCTGCTCAGACCTCCTCTATGGTTTATGATCTTGTTAAGACACCAAGGAACCTCAGAAGAAAAGGAGACTGAGGAAACTAACCAAATCATCAGCAGGGGAAGATCCCTCTAGAGCATCCGGCACTACAGCAAGAGATGTCCTCCTAAGTCCCTGCTGAGGAGAGATGATTATAACCCTGGAGAGGCCAAGCTTGCTGGTCACCAAGGGTGGACACAGACACCAGTCCACAACCACATCCAACTTTGCTGCTGCCTCTCCTTGGCCAACGATGCTGACAGCCACCAAACAGTCAGACTCCCATCCTGAACTGGCATCCTGCTCCTGATAAGCTGCCAAAATCATCTGCTCCCTCTCTAGCTCACCTGCCTCCATCCTTCAGCAAGATGATAAGCTCCAGTGACGTTCTTTTGAAGGGGCTAAAGCAAACAAATTGCTCATCAATGCCACCTTCTGCAAACCAAAAGCAAGGCTCCAGCAATGAAATAGCTGAAGAGGAAGCAGCAGGGCTGCCCGGTGCTGGTGGGAGCATACAGAGCCCGGGCAGCGATGGGGAGCTCCCTGTCACCGCAGGAGCAGCAGCTCCGAGGACCTGCGGGTTTGAAGCCATTCAGCTTCCTCCCACTTTGCGACAGAAAGCCCAGTGCAGCACAGGAGTGTTTAATTACAGTTCCAGCTCTGCTAATTATCGCCTGGTCACATTCCTAATCTGCATTATGCCATGGTGCATAATAAGCAGCTCGCTGAGATCTCGCTAATAAGCGAGGCGGCGTGAGAGGATTTCATATTTCACTCTGCACTGGAACAAACAGAGCCTCGTTCAGCAGCCATGGGGACACCAGGTAGCTCCTGCTCCCTTGCCTGAAGCTCAAGAGCAATATAAAAGGGCCCAGGGTGGCTCTCCAAGGTAAGGGCAGAACAGAGCTGCCTCACAGGGACACATCTGAAAAGAGCCGAAAGCCACACTGGAGGAAGAGACAAATGCATCAATCCCTGAATTCATCCCTCCCTGCATGTGTCTTATCTCCCAGTGCCACGGCTTTTCATCCTCCTGCTTTATCGAGCAAGGTCAGGAGATTGACCCACTGGTGGCTGCAGGAGGGCTGGGGGGAGCTGAGGCAGCCTGGGCCTCACCATGAGCCGGCACCCAGCTCCCTCTGCCAGGCCAGCAGCCAAGGGAGGTGCTGGCACTGGGCAGCATTCATCCCCCCGAGCAGCAGCCCTCGCATCTCCTCCAGCTAGCAAGGCTGGGCTGTGATCTCCAGCTTCCAGAGCAAGCCCTGCACCCTCCTGGCTTTCAGCTCCAACGCACACCAGCCCCCGAGCAAAGCACTTAACGCCGCTGGGCCCTAAATCCCCTCTGCAAAAGGAGAATGTCTTTCTCTTCCCTTGCCAGGTAGGCTCTAAGATGACATGCTGGCGAGTGCAAACGCGGCTGCTACGTGCTTGCTGCTGGAGAGAACTTGGTTTGCCTCCAGCAACCCCTCTGCAAGAGTTACATGGGGTGAAGCTTCCCCGTACTGGCGCTGGCCGTCCGCATCCGCCTGCCGCTGCCTCCCCTAATGAAAGCCCTTTGTGTTCCTTGTGGAGCCTTCCCCATCACGAGGAACGTGCTTTCACCACCGCCGAAGACAGAAGTGGAACGGAGCCAAGCCCAGGCAGCGGCGGCAGCCAGCACAAGCGCTACTCGATGGGGGAAAAGCAAATCCACCAGCAGCCGGGTGATGCCAGTCCAGGGGGATTACACTCTGGGTGGGTGATTGAAACCTACCCCTCGACATAGCCCGCGCTCCAAGGTGGGACAGGGTCCCATGGGAAGGGAAGCACAGCAGCCAGTGCCAGCGTGGAGAGATGCACACAAAGCAGCTCCTGCCATCTTAGAGCAGTGCCAGAGCAGCTTCGTTAGCATCAGTCACCATTAAGGGACTCCACAGCAGCAATTAGCTAACAGGAGAAAGAGAAGAGGGCACAGCAAAAATAAAACCACCATATTTATATTGATGCCAACCCCCAAACCACCCAGAGCACCCACTCCCGTTTATTTGCTTTGCTCCCAATAATCAAAGTCAACCAGGCAAGAAAAATGCATTTTTGAGCAATAAAAGCCAACAGGGATGCCAAAAACCCAGAGAAGAACAAGCAGCACAGATATCTGTGGTGCATCTGCAAGGACAGAGAGAGTGTGAACAATGCCATGGTGTAGGGCACCCACAGAACTACACCCTGCTTGTCAGCAAGGACCTTGCAGTGGTCAGCATTGAGATCACTGATGCATCTGAGATAGTGCTTGGCTTCCAGTGTATGTCCACATCAACAAGCTACACAGCACAGTGGCCCATTCTTCTTATTTAGAAGGGTCCTTCAAGTCCTGCAGATGGAGACAGACAACAAAAGCAAGGGGGAGCCTCAGTACTGGTCACAGGAGTCACTGTGCCAGGAGTCAAAACATGGATCAAAACTGTTCCATCACACTGCACTGGGTACTAAGAAAGAGAAAAATAACTGTTACAGCTGAACCCAGGACTTGCATTGCTCAAGGCTGCAGCCAAAACCTCCCACACTACTGCATGGCTCAGCCCAACGTTTGGCAGCTTTGATGTCCTGGGAGCTCTTGTCCTGCTCCATTACCACATCCCCAACAGCTTTGCTTTTTCAGAGCAGGACCTGGGAACATGAACTTCCAGCTCCTTGAAGAAAGATAATTGGCGAGCAGATCCATCCAGTGATGAACATCTTTGGTGGGCATCTTCAAACCTCAGAACTGCAGCACTCAAGGTGCTCTCCCCCATCACGAGTGACCTCAGTGAGGATTTCGAAGAGGAACCAGAATCTTCTCCAGCCTGACCCCCAAAGCCCAATATGCAGAGGCTGAAGACACACCAGTGCCCACCACGCCAGCGGTTCAATCTCTAATCTACCTGTAAACATTACTCAGTACTCTCCAACAGACTCACCCAGAGCTCCCAGTCACATCCCCCAGGAACAACATCCCAATATGCTGGAGGCACACAACCCCAGCAAGTGTGGAGGAGGCTCCAGTATGTAACCATGAACCCTGACTGATTGCTGCCTTGATTTTTCTGGACCACAGCAAGAAAACAGTCAATGAGAGCTTCCAACAAAACCCCATGTGCAGGGCAACGATGGCAGCACAAGCAGGATGCAAAACATGGAGCAAGGAGCATGGTCTGGGGCAGCAATTCTGACACTGTTGCCCGTTGCTCTCCCCTCTCCCTCACCAGAGGCTGAGGTTGCTGACATCAAGATGTAAACCCAAAAATGTGTTTCAGAACAAAGGTTCCTTTCCCTGGAAAGACGCCAGCTTAAATAAACAGCCAATTACTTCTACAGACCATGGACACGTGGGGAGGACCCTGCTGGGGAAGTTTGCCCTGGCCACACGTAAGCAGGCCACAAGAACCAAAACCTGAACAAGGACTTCTGCAAGAAGCTCACATCCCACTGCTGAAAACAGACCCGGTCATGCTTAATGAGTGTATCAGGGTATAAGCTACAACCTCCCACCATGCCAGTGATGAGGAACTGATCCAAACACCCAGGTGATCCAAGCAGTTGTACCAACCCTGGCCACACTGCTGCGTAAATGCAAGTATCACCCAGCATGACCTCCAACAAGCCACTTCTTCTCCCCAGCAGAGAAGGGAATAAAATCCCTGCGTGAACACAACCAGGCTTATCTCAGTGCTTGCAGTGTTTCAAGATCAAGAGGAGGCAGACGCCACAGAGGCACAGTCTTGCATATTACTGCATCTTCAATAAAGCCAGGAATAGTATCCAAGACAGACGTGTTGGCACCAAGTCACCTGCTCCAACCACTTACAAGACTATCGGATCTTCTCCAAGAAGGTAAAAATACTCTGAAAGGTCTCCCCAGTAGGAGAAAGGTAGCGAAGAGCAGTGACAGAAGGAGACAGTTGACACAAGTGAGAAACATGGAAAAAGGGAATCCAGGCTGGGACCTCTGTGCACTGGTCCAGACCAATGCTCGCCTCCTTTATGGAATTAAAACATGAAGCAGCTGGGCTGGTGACGAAAAGGGGAAAGATCC